TATTTTAAAACTACACAACCTCTGGTCTTACATAAACAGGTTAAGCAATGTTACAGGGGATACTAAGTTAAAAAACAAAACCAAACCTGTGTATCTTCTGACCTCAGATAGTTTCCATGTTCATACAGGAGATGAGGCGAGTTTATTAGTAACTCAAAAAAGGATAGATTGTTTTGTAGCTGAGGGAACCAGGGACAGCATATTGGGGGGAAATTACATATTAGTTTGGCCTTAAAAGATGTGTAGGATTTAGACCTGTGGCAATGTGGGGAAAGACCTTTTAGGCAGTAGAAATAATGACATCAAGAATACTTAGTTGTTTAGTTTGGTTCATGACATCTGAGTAATCAAAATGAATGTTACAGTCCTAGCTGGTTTGGCTCAATGAATAGAATCTTGGCCTGAGGACTGAAAGGTCCCAGGTTTGATTCCAGTCAAGGGCACATACCCGGGTTGCTGGCTCAATCCCCTGTAGGGGGGGCTGCAGGAGGCAGCCAGTCAATGATTCTCGTCGTTGATGTTTCTATCTCTCTCCCTCTCCCTTCCTCTCTGAAATCAATAAAAATATATTTTTAAAAAATCAATAAATATTACAAAAGATAGGTTGGAGCCAGATATTGAAAGGCCCTTTAAAGTCTTTGTTTCTGAGTTTGTATTTTATCTTGTTGACAATGTAGAACATTGAAGAATTTTAACAGGGCGGTGATATGCCAGAGCTATCATTTAGGAAGCACAATATGGTGGTAATGCATAGGATGAGCTGGAAAGGAGAGAGAGAGGCAGGGAGAACAATGTGGAGGCCACCACAATAGATCATGGAGAGGGTCTGAGATTTAGGATAATGGGCATGCAGATTGGACAGAGGGTACAAAAACAGAACCAATAAGTGATTAAATGTGGGGCACAAACAAGAGGAAGGAAAGATGACTGTAAAGATTCTAGCCTGAATAACTGAGAAGATAAATAGGAGGCCTTTGGAAATAGAAGTCTGAAGAAGGGGAGATTATACCTGGGGATATATGTTTGGGGATTATGCATATAAAATGCTAGTTAAAGCCTTAAGAGTAGATGAAATTGCCATAGGAGAGAGGTTGTAAGTGGGTGGGGGAGAGAGAGTTAAGGACAGTAGGAGGCAGAGGGAGGAAAAGGAGCTATAAAGAAGCAATCTGAAAGTCAAGGAAAGAAGATAGTTTCATTGGAGAAGTATAAGTAGAGGAGAACAGGAATAGTGATCTATAGTGTCGGGCTCCAGAATAATTGGGGAGAATAGTACACAAAAGGCCATTGAATTTAGGAATCAGGAAATTATTGATTTTCAGGGGTGCAGAATCAGTGAATTATGCAGGCTGAAGCCAGATTACAGGGAATTTTACACCAGTTTTGAGGCTATAGGAACAGTAAGCATAGATTACTTTTGTAGTACATCATCTAGAAAATAATTTTGAGGGAGAATGAGTATAGTATAGATATGATGAAATGAGAGGTTAAACTGAATTGCAAATGGAATGGAAGAGAGGACTTGGCATCTTAGAGAGCCTGAGGACATAGAATCTATAGGTCCTGGAGACTGACTTGATGTGAGATTGAAAGGAAAAGAATTCCAGTTTCAAGGCTTGGAGACCAAAAGAAGGAATGCCATTTGTAAATATAAAGAAGCCATGCATTAGCTCTATCGGTTTGGCTGAGTGAATAGAGCACCAGCCTGCAGACTGAAGGGTCCCGGGTTCGATTCCGATCAAGGGCACATGCCCAGGTTGTGGGCTCGATCCCCGGTGTGGGAAGGCAGCCGATCAATGATTCTCTCTTATCATTGATGTTTCTATCTCTCTTTCCCTTTCCCTTCCTCTCTGAAATCAATAAAAATATATTTTTTTTAAAAAAGCCATACATTAGAAGCAGGTTTGGGTTCAAAGATGGCAAGTTTCATTTTATATATATATAGCTAATATGCTAAGTGTCCGACTGTCTGACCAGTCGCTATGACGCACACTGACCACCAAAGGGCAGACACTCAATGCAGGAGCTGCCGTGATGTGCACTGGCCATTTACAGAGAAATGGCACCGCAGACCTGGTGCCCACAAAACACTTGGCTTCCCCCAAGTGGGACACAGGCCCCACCACCACCCTGGACTGACAGCCCACCAAATTGCAGCCAACTCTGCCAAGACACCATGGCGCAAAATGTGGCCCACAACCCAGCCCAGCTTGAAACGGTCACTGTGGGCTCTGGGTAATGATGTCACATAGCAACGCCCAGCTTCCTCTCCCTAGTGACTAGCCTCCTTGTAGTTTCTTCAGCCCAGGAACATGACTTGCTTTATAGACAGGTGCAAACATTTTACACTAACCAAGTGTCTCCGAAGTGTTTTCCTGTGCCTCATCTCATTTGATCCTCATGGAAGTCCTGGAGTAAGTAGATAGGAGACTCTGTGGAATCCTGTTTTCTTTTCATTAGCCAGAAAACGGAGATTTAGAGAGCTTAGAAACTTGACCCAACTGAAAAGAAGTAAGAAATGGTGGACCTTGAAAATGACTTCAGGTTTTCTCACTG